CTGCCTTGTTGACATCATCAAGCTATTAATGTATGGAAGACAAAAACAACTTCTCTCAATGGAGCTACTGACTGAACCCCAAGGAAACTGGAACAGCTTGGCCTAAAGGATAAGGCGTCTGACTTCGGATCAGAAGATTGAGGGGTCAAGTCCCTTCGTGGTTGCTTGGAAGATCTCAACCCTCTGAATCTTGTTTAAGAAGTACCAATTTTCCACATAGAACGGTTTCGTGCTACAACTGAACATCATACTTGTAGCAAGTTATTGTCATTAGGAATGAGAAAATAACGACATGAAACCCTGAAGCACGTCAAGGCCGGTTAGCTCAGGTGGTTAGAGCGTGGTGCTAATAAAGTCACGGGTTCAGCCCCGTACGGGCCACAATTTCTGTGTTGACTCTATCAACCTTGTAATGTAAGAAAAATTGAAAACTTCAAATGAGAAATAATCAGCACAGGATTTGCTCTGAGCGCGGTGACAATATCGCGGTTTACAACCCCCGGAAGGCCACAAATGCCTTGTGGACATTATCAAGCTATTAATGTATGGAAGACAAAAACAACTTCTCTCAATGGAGCTACTGACTGAGCCCAAAGGTAACTGGATCGGAAGATTGAGGGTTCAAGTCCCTTTGTGGTTGCTTGAACGATCTTTACCCTTGCATTTTTCAGATTATTCCACATATCACCGTTTGGTGCAACAACTGATAATCGCACGTTTTTGTCATTAGGAATGAAAAAATAATGCTCTCTTTGTTGACTATCAACCTTGTACCTGTAAGAAAAAATTGAAAACTTCTCTCAATGGAGCTACTGACTGAAACTCGAACCGCGTGGCCTAAAGGATAAGGCGTATGACTTCGGATCAGAAGATTGAGGGTTCAAGTCCCTTCGTGGTTGCTTGGAAGATCTCTCCACTCTGAATCTCGTTTAAGCAGTAGCTTTTTGAGATTATTCCACATAGTACCGTTTGGTGCAACAACCGAACATCACACATTTAGCAAGTTATTTCCTTAGGAATGAGAAAATAAAGACATGATATTCTGGATCACCTCGAGGCCGGTTAGCTCAGTTGGTTAGAGCGTGGTGCTAATAACGCCAAGGTCACGGGTTCAACCCCCGTACGGGCCACAACTTCTTAGTTGACTTTATCAACCTTCTACTGTAAGAACAAATTGAAAACTTCTCTCAATGGAGCTACTGAATGAACTCCAAGGAAGCTGGTACTGTGTGGCCTAAAGGGTATGTTGTGTGACTTCAGATCAGAAGATGGAGCGGTCAAGTACCTTCATGGTTGCTTGAGGGCTCTCCACTCTAAATACCTAATAATCAGCACAAGATTTGCTCTGAGTGCGGGTGGCTATATTGACGTTTACACCCCAGAAGGCAACAACTGCCTTGTTGACATCATCAAGCTATTAATGTATGGAAGACAAAAACAACTTCTCTCAATGGAGCTACTGACTGAACCCCAAGGAAAACGGAACAGCTTGGCCTAAAGGATAAGGCGTCTGACTTCGGATCAGAAGTTTGAGGGGTCAAGTCCCTTCGTGGTTGCTTGGAAGATCTCAACCCTCTGAATGTTGTTTAAGAAGTACCATTTTGAGATTATTCCACATAGAACCGTTTGGTGCAACAACTGTAAATCATACCTGTAGCAAGTTATTGTTATTAGGAATGAGAAAATAACGACATGAAACCCTAACGCACGTGAAGGCTGGTTAGCTCAGTTGATTAGAGCGAGGTGCTAATAACACCAAGGTCACGTGTTCAGCCCCCCGTACTGGCCACAATTTCTGTGTTGACTTTATCAACCTTGTACTGTAAGAAAAAATTGAAAACTTCAAATGAGAAATAATCAGCACAGGATTTGCTCTGAGCGCGGTGACAATATTGCGGTTTACAACCCCCGGAAGGCCACGAATGCCTTGTGGACATTATCAAGCTATTAATGTATGGAAGACAAAAACAACTTCTCTCAATGGAGCTACTGACTGAGCCCCAAAGGTAACTGGATCGGAAGATTGAGGGTTCAAGTCCCTTTGTGGTTGCTTGAACGATCTTTACCCTTGCATTTTTCAGATTATTCCACATATCACCGTTTGGTGCAACAACTGATAATCGCACGTTTTTGTCATTAGGAATGAAAAAATAATGCTCTCTTTGTTGACATTTCAACCTTGTACTGTAAGAAAAAATTGAAAACTTCTCTCAATGGAGCTACTGACTGGAAACTGGAACCGCGTGGCCTAAAGGATAAGGCGTCTGTGACTTCGGATCAGAAGTTTGAGGGCTAAAGTCCCTTCGTGGTTGCTTGGAAGATCTCTCCACTCTGAATCTGGTTTAAGCAGTAGCTTTTTGAGATTATTCCACATAGTACCGTTTGGCTTGCAACAACCGAACATCACACCATTTAGCAAGTTATTTCATTAGGAATGAGAAAATAAAGACATGATATTCTGGATCACCTCGAGGCCGGATAGCTCAGTTGGTTAGAGCGTGGTGCTAATAACGCCAAGGTCACGGGTTCAACCCCCCGTACGGGCCGCAACTTCTTAGTTGACGTTATCAACCTTCTACTGTAAGATAAAATGAAACTTTCCTCCTCAATGGAGCTATCTGAATGCGAACTCCAAGGAAGCTGGTTACCTTGGTGTGGCCTAAAGGGTATGTTGTGTGACTTCAGATCAGAAGATGGAGCGGTCAAGTACCTTCATGGTTGCTTGAGGGCTCTCCACTCTAAATACCTAATAATCAGCACAAGATTTGCTCTGAGCGCGTGGCTATATTGACGTTTACCACCCCCAGAAGGCAACAACTGCCTTGTTGACATCATCAAGCTATTAATGTATGGAAGACAAAAACAACTTCTCTCAATGGAGCTACTGACTGAACCCCAAGGAAACTGGGAACAGCTTGGGCCTAAAGGATAAGGCGTCTGACTTCGGATCAGAAGATTGAGGGTTTCAAGTCCCTTCGTGGTTGCTTGGAAGATCTCAACCCTCTGAATCTTGTTTAAGAAGTACCAATTTTCCACATAGAACGGTTTCGTGCTACAACTGAACATCATACATGTAGCAATTTATTGTCATTAGGAATGAGAAAATAACGACATGAAACCCTGTAGCACGTCAAGGCCGGTTAGCTCAGGTGGTTAGAGCATGGTGCTAATAACGCCAAAGTCACGGGTTCAGCCCCGTACGGGCCCACAATTTCTGTGTTGACTTTATCAAACCTTGCTAATGTAAGAAAAAATTGAAAACTTCAAATGAGAAATAATCAGCACAGGATTTGCTCTGAGCGCGGTGACAATATCGCGGTTTACAACCCCCGGAAGGCCACCAAATGCCTTGTGGACATTATCAAGCTCTTTTAATGTATGGAAGACAAAAACAACTTCTCTCAATGGAGCTACTGACTGAGCCCAAAGGTAACTGGATCAGGAAGATTGAGGGTTCAAGTCCCCTTTGTGGTTGCTTGAACGACTCTTTACCCTTGCATTTTTCAGATTATTCCACATATCACCGTTTGGAGCAACAAACTGATAATCGCACGTTTTTGTCATAGGAATGAAAAAATAATGCTCTCTTTGTTGACATTATCAACCTTGTACTGTAAGAAAAATTGAAAACTTCTCTCAATGGAGCTACTGACTGAAACTGGAAACCGCGTGGCCTAAAGGATAAGGCGTCTGACTTCGGCTCAGAAGTTTGAGGGTTAAAGTCCCTTCGTGGTTGCTTGGAAGATCTCTCCACTCTGAATCTGGTTTAAGCAGTAGCTTTTTGAGATTATTCCACATTGTACCGTTTGGTGCAACAACCGAACATCACACATTTAGCAAGTTATTTCATTAGGAATGAGAAAATAAAGACATGATATTCTGGATCAACTCGAGGCCGGTTAGCTCAGTTGGTTAGAGCGTGGTGCTAATAACGCCCAAGGTCACGGGTTCAACCCCCGTACGGGCCACAACTTCTTAGTTGACGTTATCAACCTTCTACTGTAAGAACAAATGAAAACTTCTCTCAATGGAGCTACTGAATGAACTCCAAGGAAGCTGGTACTGTGTGGCCTAAAGGGTATGTTGTGTGCCTTCAGATCAGAAGATGGAGCGGTCAAGTACCTTCATGGTTGCTTGAGAGCTCTCCACTCTAAATACCTAATAATCAGCACAAGATTTGCTCTGTAACGCCAAGGTCACGTGTTCAGCCCCCGTACTGGCCACAATTTCTGTGTTGACTTTATCAACCTTGTACTGTAAGAAAAAATTGAAAACTTTAAATACCAAATAATCAGCACAGGATTTGCTCTGAGCGTGGGTGACAATATTGCGGTTTACAACCCCCGGAAGGCCACAAATGCCTTGTTGACATTATCAAGCTATTAATGTATGGAAGACAAAAACAACTTCTCACAATGGAGCTACTGACTGAGCCCAAAGGTAACTGGATCAGAAGATTGAGGGTTCAAGTCCCTTTGTGGTTGCTTGAACGATCTTTACCCCTTGCATTTTTCAGATTATTCCACATATCACCGTTTGGTGCAACAACTGATAATCGCACGTTTTTGTCATTAGGAATGAAAAAATAATGCTATGAATTTCAGTAGAATCCCAAGGCCGGTTAGCTCAGTTGGTTAGAGCGTGGTGCTAATAACGCCAAGGTCACGGGTTCAACCCCCGTACAGGCCACACCCTCTTTGTTGACATTATCAACTTGTACTGTAAGAAAAAATTGAAAACTTCTCTCAATGGAGGTACTGACTGAAACTAGAACCGCCGTGGCCCTAAAGGATAAGGCGTCTGACTTCTGATCAGAAGATTGAGGGTTCAAGTCCCTTCGTGGTTGCTCTGGAAGATCTCAACCCTCTGAATCTTGTTTAAGAAGGACCATTTTTCCACATAGAACGGTTTCGGTGCAACAACTGAACATCATACTTGTAGCTGGTTATTGTCATTAGGAATGAGAAAATAACGACATTGAAACCCTGAAGCACGGTCAAGGCCGGTTTAGCCTCAGTTGGTTAGAGGTGGTGCTAATAACGCCAAGGTCACAGGTTCAACCCTGAACGGGCCACACATTTCTGTGGTGACTTTATCAACCTTGTACTGTAAGAAAAAATGGAAAACTTCAAATGAGAAATAATCAGCACAGGATTTGCTTTGAGCGCTGTGACAATATTGCCGGTTTACCAACCCACGGAAGGCCACAAATGCCTTGTTGACATTATCAAGCTCTTAATGTATGGAAGACAAAAACAACTTTCTCTCAATCAAGGCTACTGACTGAGCCAAAGGTAACTGCAGCAGAGATTGAGGGTTCAAGTCTCTTTGTGGTTGCTTGAACGATCTTTACCCTTGCATTTTTCAGATTATTCAACTATCACCGTTTGGTGCAACAACTGATAATCGCACGTTTTTGTCATTGGAATGAAAAAATAATGCCATGAAATCAGTAGAATCCCAAGGCGCGGTTAGCTCAGTTGGTTAGAGCGTGGTGCTAATAACGCCACAGGTCACCGGGTTCAACCCTCGTACGGGCCACACCCTCTTTGTTGACGTTATCAACCTTCTACTGTAAGAACAAATTGAAAACTTCTCTCAATGGAGCTACTGAATGAACTCCACCAGGAAGCTGGTACCTGTGTGGCCCTAAAGGGTGATGTTGTGTGACTTCAGATCAGAAGATGGAGCGGTCAAGTACCATCATGGTTGCTTTGAGAGCTCTCCACTTAAATACCTAATAATCAGCACAAGATTTGCTCTGAGTGCGGTGGCTATATCGACGTTTACACCCCCAGAAGGCAACAACTCCTTGTTGACATCATCAAGCTATTAATGTATGGAAGAAAAAAAACAATCTTCTCATCATGGAGCTACTGACTGAACCCAAGGAAACCGGAACAGCTTGGCCTTAAAGGATAAGGCGTCCTGACTTCGGATCAGAAGATTGAGGGTTTCAAGTCCCTTCGTGGTTGCTTGGAAAGATCTCTCCACTCTGAATCTGGTTTTAAGCAGTAGCTTTTTGAGATTATTCACACATAGTACCGTTTGGTGCAACAACCGAAACATCACACATTTAGCAAGTTATTTCCTTAGGAATGAGAAAAATAAAGACATGATATTCTGGGTCACCTCGAGGCCGGTTAGCTCAGTTGGTTAGAGCGTGGTGCTAATCAACGCCAAGGTCATCCCCGTACGGGCCACAACTTCTTAGTTGACGTTATCAACCTTCTACTGTAAGAACAAATTGAAAACTTCTCTCAATGGAGCTACTGAATGAACTCCAAGGAAGCTGGTACTGTGTGGCCAAAAGGGTATGTTGTGTGACTTCAGATGAGAAGATGGACGCGGTCAAGTACCTTCATGGTTGCTTGAGAGCTCTCCACTCTAATACCTAATAATCAGCACCAGATTTGCTCTGAGTGCGGTGGCTATATCAACGTTTACATCCCCAGAAGGCAACAAATGCCTTCTTAACATCATCAAGCTATTAATGTATGGAAGACAAAAACAACTTCTCTCAATGGAGCTACTGACTGAGCCCAAAGGTAACTGGATCAGAAGATTGAGGGTTCAAGTCCCTTTGTGGTTGCTTGAACGATCTTTACCCTTGCATTTTTCAGGATTATTCCACATATCACCGTTTGGTGCAACAACTGATAATGGCACGTTTTTGTCATTAGGAGTGAAAAAATAATGCTATGAATTTCAGTAGAATCCCACGGCCGGTTAGCTCAGTTGGTTAGAGCGTGGTGCTAATAACGCCAAGGTCACGGGTTCAACCCCCGTACGGGCCACACCCTCTTTGTTGACATTATCAACCTTGTACTGTAAGAAAAAATTGAAAACTTCTCTCAATGGAGCTACTGACTGAAACTGGAACCGCGTGGCCTAAAGGATAAGGCGTCTGACTTCGGATCAGAAGATTGAGGGTTCAAGTCCCTTCGTGGTTGCTTGGAAGATCTCTCCACTCTGAATCTGGTTTAAGCAGTAGCTTTTTGAGATTATTCCACATAGTACCGTTTGGTGCAACAACCGAACATCACACATTTAGCAAGTTATTTCATTAGGAATGAGAAAATAAAGACATGATATTCTGGATCACCTCGAGGCCGGTTAGCTCAGTTGGTTAGAGCGTGGTGCTAATAACGCCAAGGGCACGGGTTCAACCCCCGTACGGGCCACAACTTCTTCGTTGACGTTATCAACCTTCTACTGTAAGAACAAATTGAAAACTTCTCTCAATGGAGCTACTGAATGAACTCCAAGGAAGCTGGTACTGTGTGGCTTTAACGGGTATGTTATGTGACTTCAGATCAGAAGATGGAGTGGTCAAGTACCTTCATGGTTGCTTGAGAGCTCTCCACTCTAAATACTTAATAATCAGCACAAGATTTGCTCTGAGTGCGGTGGCTATATCGACGTTTACACCCCCAGAAAGGCAACAACTGCCTTGATGACAATCATCAAGCTATTAATGTATGGAAGACAAAAACAACTTCTCTCAATGGAGCTACTGACTGAACCCCAAGGAAACCTGGAACTCAGCTTGGCCTAAGGATAAGGCGGTCTGAACTTCGGATCAGAAGATTGAGGGTCAAGTCCCTTCGTGGTTGCTTGGAAGATCTCAACCCTCTGAATCTTGTTTAAGAAGTACCATTTTGAGATATTCCACATAGAAACGTTTTGTTGCAACAACTGTACATCATACTGTAGCAGTTATTGTCATTAGGAATGAGAAAATAACGACATGAAACCCTGAAGCACGTGCAAGGCCGGTTAGCTCAGTTGATTAGAGCAGGAGATGTAATAACGACAAGGTCACGTGTTCAGCCCCCGTACTGAGCCACAATTTCTGTGCTGACTCTATCAACCTTGTACTGTAAGAAACATTGAAACTTCAAATAGCAAATAATCAGCACCGGATTTGCTCTGAGCGCATAGGGACGGGTGACAATCGCGGTATTACACCCCCGGAAGGCCACCAAAAGCCTTGTTGACATCTCAAGCTATTCATGTAAGTGAAGACAAAACAACATCTCTCAATGGAGCTACTGACTGAGCCCAAAGGTAACTGGATCAGAAGATTGAGGGTTCAAGTCCCTTTGTGGTTGCTTGAACGATCTTTACCCTTGCATTTTTCAGATTATTCCACATATCACCGTTTGGTGCAACAACCTGATAATCGCACGTTTTTGTCATTAGGAATGAAAAAATAATGCTATGAATTTCAGTAGAATCCCAAGGCCGGTTAG